AGTATGTCAACCTAAATTATATATATATATATATATATATATTTCTGAGACTTCAAAGCACTTCCTGGGGATGCTGCTGAAAAACAAACCAAAGGATAGGCAGCTGGTTAGGAATACATGAGCCAAAAGAGTGCAAAGGAAGATAAAGCAGTGTTGTACACTGCTCCCCCCCCCATTAGAGATGCTTCAGAAAAATGACTTGGTGATGTGAAAGGGGGCACCTGCTCACTTAAATTCATCTCTTAGCCTCACAAATATCCTGAACTATTTTCTGCATATAGCTAACACTTTCAGACAGTTTGGAAAAATGCTTCAAAATATGGCAGCAGCTGTACTCACAAATGATATACATTGTGCTAAATGTGTGCTACCATAAGCTTGCCAGATTCTCCAAGATGACTTGGTCAGAGGTGATTTTCTAATGGATTAATTTCTTTCATTGTGGTAAGGGAGAAAAAGAGTATTATTCTCTGTTAGGACTGGTGGTGTAAAGTGATGATTTATATGCTGAACTAGTGTAACTAACTTACCAGAAGTGACTATCTAGTGTTACAAGTTAACCACACAAATGCTGTGTAACTATTCAAAATCAGCACATTTTCTCCTGTCTTGAGAAGAAACATTTCTGCTCAGATTTGGTTCCATTTAGTTATAATAAATCTGGCACACGTTTTGCTAATTTAGCATGTCAAACCTTTCTGCCAGATATGTCTGAAGAGAAATATGTTCAGTTCACCTTGGTAAGCATGAGTTCTATGTAAGAAGTTATTTTATTGAAAACCAGTGCATTTAAAAGATCTAGGTTCATTCACACATGAATGACTACAAGATGTCATTTCATATACAGTTAATGTCAATACTCTTTTGACCCATACTTTTTAAATTATTAATTGGAAATTCTGCATGCCAAAATCATGAAATAATAAAATTAAATTAGTCAGTCTGATGACATAAGCATTCTGCAGGAAATCTCATTCCGTATGTGAGAGGATGACCCCACATTTTTCAGTGTTTGCAGAGTTACCAGTTATTTCTTTCTCCCCTCCCCTTTCAAGCTGTTTATTAGGCAAGTTTAATTTTGAATTTTGGAAGTAAATTTGAGAGAGACAGTAATTATTCTAAACACAACATCAAAAAAATTTCAGATACTGTTCACAGTCTGCAAGTGCTCAACCCATGAGGGGGCTCCCCAAGAGCATAGGGTACAAAGCTGCTACCTCAGAAGTCTTTTCATCTGTTGCAGTGATTCCCATCAAAATGAAGTACACTACAAAATCAGTCTTTACAAAACCGTTAAGCAGCCATCCTCATAAATGAAAGCTTTCAAGAGCTATGATTAACACACGTGAAATAAAAGTAACAATTTAACGTGCAAATTTTATAAAGCCAGAATAAATGCACTCCTTAGTCAAGGTTAAATAGCCCCACTCTTGGTTCTGAAGAATGCTGATGCTATTCTGCCATCTGTACCACATTTTTTGCATTCTAGCTAACTGCATGCCCAACAAGGAATGAGCTGCACCACTAAACTGTCTGTATTTAATAAAAAAAAATCTACAAGGTTTGCTAAAACTGCTTATTTTGCTTGGCAAGGCTTGTTGCTTTTGGAAAAAAAAAAAGTAATCTACAAATTAAATTCGTCACCAAAGCAATTTACTTGCCATTTTGTTTATACCTTATATAAACCTTTGTTTTGCAGATCCCACATACCTTAAACACAACCATTAAAATCTGAAACCAGATAAAGAAACAACAGAACAATTTCTGCTGCTGAATTTATAGTAATGTCAGCCTTTTTCACTGAGAGGCAAAACTTCATTTGGAGTTGTAACTCCATGTACATGCACTTTGTCCCAAAAGTCATATCTTGTGCACTCCTTTTCCCCAGTATACCATATAGAAGAAATTAATTGGAAATTTTAGACAAATTTTTAACATATAAAAATCCATTTTTACAGTTCATTTTACTTTGATACATTTTTCCAGACAAAAAATGATAAATTGAAATTTTGATCCTGTACAGTGAAATCAATGCAAAGAGGCACCAAGACACAGGAAGGATTTCACTGAAGCTTTTGAAAAGTGAACTAGCTGCTCTGTTTCACATAAAACAATTAAGGTTACAGAACAATTCAAAGGCAGCCACGCTTTCTTACCATGGTTGGATGAAGTGGAAAGACAAGGAAAATCTTTTTATAGATGAGAGGGGAAATTTTATACTCTTGAGCTCTTTATTTATTTATACATTTTTATATACAGACTTGCTCTACTCTTACCCTGTATCTGTGCTACCAATCTAATTCTTCATATTGGTTGTCAGTTTTCCAGAAAATAATTTTGGAGAACAACAAGCAATCCTGATGGAAAAGGAATTCATATTCAGACACTGACCCCAAAATTTTCCTCTGAATTACAGCTCTCCAGAATAGAATGTCTGCAAATACAACCTGCTATTCCCAGGCTTGAGACATACCGCTTTTCTGTTGGCAGAGCACTGCACACCTGTGAGACCACAACAGTTTAAGCAGGCTCTAGTACTGTAATAGCAGCGTGCCTTCAATATTTACTACTGTCCAAGGTTTGTGCCACTTGAGAACACTACCAGCAGGTAGTTTCTCTCATGAGTTACATCCCTGATAAAAGTACAAAGGAGCACTAGGTTAAGAGCAAATAAAAATGGGTGCATCAACATAAGCAATTTAGAGCATGTTCTTTTTTGGTGCAAAATTGCCTTGCATTTACCCTTGCAGTCTTGCAGTACTCTTAACAGATTATAAGGGACATTTAGATGCCTAAAAATATTTGCAACGTACCTACTTGCACTTGAGAAAGCATTTAAAATGAAACTGTATCTCTAGCCACTCTAAAATCTAGCCCGTTATGCCAATTTCTTAACTCCTGTGCTGTGCACATAAATAAAGAAACCCAATGTATGTAACGACTATTATATCTTTAAAGAAATACAGATTTACTTACTATTACCATTTGGTATGTAAACCTATTTCCACTACCAAAGATTTCGAGGAACTTTCTCTTACCTGTATTACGATCTTTTATGACAATGTCAGAAATCTCAAAGAGTTTGAGAGGCAAGGGCATCTTTCGGTTAGCAGCTATAGTTTTCAGTAGCCCAGGAAGGAGGGTTGTACGTGCCACCTGCAGGACAAACATAGACGCTGCAAGTGAAACACTTTCCAAAATAGCGTTAGTTTTCTTAATTTTTTGTTTTTCTCATTAGTAACAAGAGTTTAAAAGTAGTCAGGTGCAATATTGCACTTATCTCTTATGTTTAAGCATCTTTGCTTTAGAAATATTAAACTTGAAAATGTACATTCTCTGCATGTTCTTTATACTACATTTTCTGAAAAAGTACATGTGAGCTTAAGAATAGGTATCACTTCACAGATGCCCGAGCCGCAGCGCAGGGTAGAAAACCAAATAATATAGAAAGAAGTGCAAAAAAATTCCCATACATTTAATCTCACTTACGCAAAAGGTAAATACTAACTGTTACTTTGGAAATATTAAGTGCTATCTGAAATATTATCTTGGTACCTCTTGATATTAATCAACGGTAGAGGCAGAACCCAAGTAACAGAAACAGATATATTCAGATTGCAGTTGTGGACAACCTGAAATACATAGAAAACATATGCAAAGAACCAAGAAAGAGGCAATCATATCACTGTTCTTCCAGATACCTTCACAAATATTCCTGTGTTCTCCGTTCAAATACTTCCTTAGAAGTGCACCATTATGGTTTTTTTTTTCAAACTGGAAGACTCTGATTCAGTAAATCTAATAGAAAAGCGATGGGAGTGACTGTCTGCTGCTTGACTGCATGTAAAAAGTTACCATGTGCTCAGCTACAGTTACTTCTTCTCATTGGTCATGCAGCGTTTCTGTCTATTTATCCTACTTTTCCTACCCAGTGAAGAGTTCCAGCTGCACACTCAGCTGGAAGAGGGTCCCTGACATCATCCTGCCCTTGTCTTGCTGGCAGGGAATACGGGATAGGAGAAAAAACATCTTGAGAATCCCTTCTTGAGAAGATTTTGAAAGATAAAGGTTATTTTTGCCACAAGGAATATTCAGCCAGTAATACAACTCCTTAGCAGCATTGCTACTGCAAAGGTCTGCAGTCTTTGAAGGACAAGAATCTGAAATCGTACCTGGCTAGAGGGGCTGACACTTTTTCTCTTCTTGTTCACACTCAGTATTGTTTGTTTGTGATACGCTCTATATTGCTCAGTTGTAATCGCCATGCCAAATGATGTATATGAACAGGTGATAGCAGTCTAAACAGGCTACAACAGTGTCTTGCATGACTGCTTATTTGTGGTACCAAATAGAACAGAAAATACATGAAGGTACCCCAAAATTCTATTCTTGAATCTCAGAGCAGCAGAAGACTATTTTTATTATTAAAGATCTAGAAAGGTAGACACTGGGAGAAATCAGACTTACCGAAGATCTTGAGGTAAAAAACCCCACAAACGACAAAATATTAATACCCACAGACTGATGAAACTTTTCTAAACCTTTCTAGAGTGTTTACCTTTGTATTTCTTAGGTTAGAAACAAAAGAAAGCCTCTAAATTCACCTTCCTTAAACTAAACAAAGCATCTTTCTAAAAAAACACTCTCTAAAAGAAATACAAAAACTATGGGTACACTTTTGGGTATTTTCAGAACTGTTGAGAATACTGTACTTGAACTCTCACTCTCTGCTCTAGCAAAGACCAAATGATCTAGAAATGGGTATTAAAATACCTAAAGAGCAATACAGAATTATGAAAAAAAGAAGAGTAATAATGGTTAATAATTTTTTTTAAAAAAAATTTCCTATCCAGAGCTCAGGAAGTTTAGGGACTGACAGGTCTAGTAGTTCTATTTATGCTGAATGGCTTTTCTAAATGCAGGAGTTGATAAATCAGCTGGGATTTTCTCCAATAAGATGGCTCAATTTTGCCACATGCTGTCATACAGAAAATGTTATTTTACTTTATTAAGAAGCTAATAGTATTCCACAGACAGATAAGGTACTTCTCAGCGGAGCAGTAACAAAAGATGACTGCTAAGAAGTTTAGCACATAAGCATCCGGATCATCTTTAATGTAGAAAAAGTAGCTCTACAGTTTATAAATTTTGTTTCCTGTTGGCTCCTTTCTCTCCTCTTTAAATACAGAATCCATGACAACGTTGCCCTCAAAATTTGACCTGAATTACCTCACCTGAAATTCTGCAGTTTTGGGGTTTGCTATGCGCACTGCTTTTGTGGCAGAGATATCCATGCCGAGTTTATCTGCAATGTCATCTTGAGAACACTGAGGGGAAGAGACAAAAAACCACCATGGTCAAGCAGTTAAAACAGACAGTAAGCCAACAAAGAAATTTGATATCAAGAATGAACAACGCAATTGTAGCGCTTGCTCTGAGGCCCCATAATATATGTTCTCATGTGCAACATACACTCGTAACAAAAATCAAGGCCCAGTCTTAAGACTAAGTAGGTAAACTGGTTTATCTACAAATGTAATTACTAACCAAAATAAAGCTAGTTTTTTTTTAAAAAAAAAGGCAAGTGTTTATTTAGGCTTCTTGTCATGGATGGCTGTCATCTGTTTTAAAAACAGAGGCTTAGATTCTGCCCCCTGACTTGCAGTGGGTTTTTTATTCTGAAAATAGCCCTTGTAAAGGGACTGGTTCCTGAGTTTTCTCACAAAGAGAACAATCCCTTGGGGCTACTTAGAGAAAGTAAAACCAAGTCATATGGCCAAACTGCATTTTCATAGCTGCATAGGATTCTCGTAGTTCATTGTTTTTGTTTTTATTTTTTTGAGCCTGGAGTATTTTTAAAGCCCTTATTCTCAAGATGTATTTTTAAGCTGGCCAGTAAAGCAATACACATGCACTTTATCAGGCACATACAGCAACAGATGCTACTGATAAGATCCACACTACAGATTTCCAGAATTTATAGCTTTATTAATGTATTAAAGAAACCAATAGCAGACTGGGCATGTAATTGAGGATTTGCTAGTATACTGCAGTCTCCCAGAATTGTTCCCTTTGCACTGGCAGCACTCTGAAAAGCATGTTGATAGACCAAATGTGAGGAAAATGAGCAGATGATACCATCTGAAAAAGTGGATTATTGAATAAAAAAATAATTTTTTTTTAAAATATCTTAAATGAATGCTGACCTTAGGAGGAGAAAATTGTGTTAAACAGTTTTCAGATGTGTATCTGAACTACAGTACGCTACTGTGATTTAACTAAATACATTTTGGCTAAATTGGAGCACCTCACAGAAAGCAATGTTATTGTCTAAAAGTATAATTTGGGGCTTAAACCAAGAAACAGACTGTATGCACAAATACAGAACCACTGTTTGTCATATAACACTGGGATACAGAACGTTGTAGCATAAATTGTATTTGTCATAGGCTTCACATTGGTGTTTTAATAAAGTGTTGGTGACACAGCAGACTGTGAGTTGCATCCTGCCACAGCAGCAATACAAATATGTAATGCAATAACATGATACACTGCGTGATCTTACAAAGTGCTGCTGTTGCAGTTCATAAAGGTCCTCAGTTTTACTGATGTAATATATTCAATGTTTTTAAGCATATTACATATTCAGTGCTGAAAAAATCAAATTATATCTACTCACGACTAAGGAAAATCTACAAAAGCTTGACCATGTTATACATGTTATTTCCCCAACATGGTACTACCACGGGTAGTCTGAAAATCTTTGTCAAATACTAGCACTGCAGGAAGTAATACTAGTTATTGTCCTGGTTACTTAAATGAGCTTGTAACAGAATACTAAAACTGGAATATATTTTTCAGACTTTAGAATTAGTCCAAATTTTTCTTTTGAAGCTCCATTAAGTCTGAAGGTGTTAAAATTTTATTCAACCCATTTGGATTACCAACTTTGGTTGTAACACCTGAACCCTTCAAACATGTGGAAGTGTTGTAGGAGCCTGCATCACTGTATCATAAAATCCTTGAGTAAGTTACCAAAAAATAATCTGTGATCAGGTAACTATCTCTTAAAAGGCTGTGTACTTTCAGGGCTGTACACTTCTGGCCATCTAGTAAGTTTTAAATTCAGGAAAAGGTAGAGAAATTCCATAGAGGTTTTAATAGAATATGTGATTGTAGCTCCCCATATGCTAAAATGTCCACAAATTGCACTTTAAGGCAAGGGCTCTGAGCAGATCTTGCAACAGAAAGGATTTTCTAAAATGCACAGTGTATTTTCAATAGATAACTATGGCAATCTTCATGTATAGACAGTTACCATATACATTTGGAGGGCATGGGGAGGTACTTCTTTTTTGAGTAGTACATCAGGTTCTCTGATTCACTTCACAACAATGGCAAAGGTGTACAAACAAGTGGCCATGTCAAAGACGGTTTCCTACTGAACGTTTTACTTTAACAAAACAATCCTGCTGCAAAATTTCAGTATTGGAAATTAGGCCAGCTGGTAGCACTGGAGTGGCACATGCTGCTACGGAGTCCTAAATCTTAGTAAAAGACTACTGGCATGGATGTAACAAATAATATGACTAATACTGGCAACCAGTGGTAACAACAATTACTATGTTTTCATCTATTCTTCCATGCAAAAAAACCCAATTTACAGAGGAATTTGTGTCCCCTTAGCGTGCACTATAACGTTTTTACAAGTATTCTGAAAATAAACTCTTTGCTGACTGAATAACTATGCATCAGCTTGGTATCTAATGCAAGGAATCATTGGCCAGTGACAATACTAAAAAGAGACAAATAGAAATAGAGAAATTTCTAAACTGTAGTAATATCCACCAGAAAGTATTAAATTTTTATGTTTGCTTTCCAGATTATCAAACTATGATGAATTTCACATCTGGTAATCAAAGTCTCGAGAGAGACTTATTGTCTTACAATTTCATCCTATCAAGTTAAACTACAAACAGTACTTCAGCAGCTATTTTCACCTCTATACATGCCACATTAACAGTGACTCATTCAATTTCTCCAACCTACAAACTCACAAAATATTGTAATTCCAAAGCACTAGCAAACAATCATCTGCCAAAACAGTAAAGGATAATACTGGTACATTTATACAGTGACTCCTCAGTCCATCCTCTGCAGTTTTGGGTGCACCGCTGTTCCAATACACAACTAAGAAAAACATGAAATCAACATCATATACCAGGGCGAAAGTGAGTGCTTCAGTGAATCCAGCAGCTGCCAAGTCCAGTCTCAGAAGTTCTGTGAGCTTATTGAGGGGGAGCTAAAATGAAACAGAAAAGTTTTCAGCTTCCACCCAAAAACATTTTTCTATTCTTTCCCAAGGTGACTCTGCCTGTTACATTATGGTGAATTAACTAGCAAGGTACTATGCTTGTGTGCTTAAAAGTTTTGAAAGTGTCAGCCAGCTGCCTTTAGGCTTGCCTGAGGAAACGAATCTCCCAATTAGAGATTTAACATGGGCTCCCTACTTAAACCCTGTCTTTTTTCAAGTATCAGCAACCACTGGTCTTAGACTTATTCAAATCAGTGGGGCATCTGTTTTGTATCCTATCCATGGTAAATACTTCTCAAGGCAAAGCATGTCAAAATATTTAATTCCTAGGTTCTGTTTTCCCCAAAGCCCTTCTGGCATGCACTAGTCATTTACTGACAACAGAGCGTTTATTTGAAGGGGCAATCTTACTTGATTAGCTATGGTGTACGTTTTCGGAACAGTCATCTGAATGTTGTTATAACCATAAGCTATTGCTGCATCTTCTACGATATCACATGCATGGATAATGTCCGCTCTGGTAGGAGGGATTTCAATCTCTATATTGTTCCCATTCCCTGTGACGTGTGACTTCAAACACATCCTAGTCAGCAGCTTTGCAAGGCTTGATGGAGTTTCACTGAAACAAAATAAGACAGTAGTAACTTATGGATCTTGCACTACCTCAACTGGCTTTTTAAAGTAACCGGTGTTTCTGCTGCATTGCCTTCTATCCCGAAGAATCTCCAAGTGCTTTATGGACTGTACATAGACTGAGCATTCCATCAGAACCAGCTCAGATTCTGACTCCTGAGACACTCATTTTTCTTTACTTCGTAACAGTTGTGTGAGGCCATAAAGAATCATTCACTTTCCTTGAAAACTTCCTTGAAAAGGGGAAGAAGTCTTACAGAGTTGATCTAATTACCCAAGATAACCTCTGAATTTTTGATAAATTAAAAAAAAAGAATCATAGTGTAAGCATTTTTAAACAATGCAATAATTAATGTTTTCTAGTACCTTTTTCATGATTAAAGAAAACTATGTTTTCATTTGCAATAACACACCTGATTCCTATTTTCTTGTTAATGAGTTCAGGTTTCACCTTCTCTTTTCGGTAAGCCAGTTCCTAAAAAGGAAGACAAAGCTTTTCAGCATACACGTTGCCTGCCATTTCTACCTAAGAGGATTCAATTTTGACATCTTAGTAATCCAACTTCTTCTCATTACAATACTAAAATGACATCCACAGAAGACAAATGTGGAATATTAGGCTAAACTTAGTATTTTAAGGTAACAGGATTTTTGAACACATACTATAGTGGTGCAAAAGCTGTTCTTGGTTAAGCTAGGTTGAACACAGCATGAAATCCCTGTAATTGAAACTTCTGATAATTTCTGATACATGCAAGCAACAGAGTTGCTGAAAGTTTCTAGTCACCAGTTCATCCTAAGTCAATGCCCTAAAGCGGTCAATCGTCATGCATGAGATCTCATGGTCTAGTACACATCAAATGACTCTTTTAGGAGGAAAAGGAAAGAAAACTTTCTATTTCCATATTGGCACAGAAATATCTACCGGTATTTTACTCAGGAAGTTTGCAACATATTTAAGGAAGTTATTTTGTATGTATTTACTTAGGTGTTTCTAAACTTCTAGATACACAAATCCTTAAAAAGCTTAGCATCTAAAACTTTGGGTATTTTTTGCTCTATTTTATCTAGAGAAGCTACTTCGGTTACTGTATTTTGTTTCATTGGATATCTCTTCAGGATTCTAGGTCTTTCCTCTGTTGATCAAAGCTGAAATTGCTAAAATAAAAAGCTAAAATACCACTAGAAAAACTTTTGGTAAAAATAAGTTTCTTTCCCTCTAAACAGTTTGTACTTGCTTGACACATCTGATTTTATGAACTCAACCAGATGTCTGTGTGTCTTCAGACGTTCAGGAGACCGGAGGCACTGCTTTCTTAATACTTACTAAGAGTACAAAAAAGTAAGACTCCGTGACTGCAAAGAGGTCTGTCTGGGACACACCTGCACTTGGAGGCAACATTCTGCCTCATACACCTTTGGGTGTATAAAGTGAAAGACTGAAAAATCCAGTGTTACAAGGTTATTTTAACTGAAGGGCATTAAAGCTTCCAGATCTGACAAGTAAGTTATGCTGAGGCTGATTTCGGTTGTCCTCTGGTTTAAGCCTGAAGGACCTCTTCCTGTGTTCATTTCTCCTCATTTGGAACATGCAGGTTTTAAAGGCTTTAGACACAGATTATGACCTTTGATTGCAATCTTTACTTGTTCCTGAAAAAGTTCATATCACATGAACTCTAAACCACAATAGCGGTTACCATTCATAACTTTAAACCCTACCCTTCTTTTTGGAGTATCAGGCTACGTCAGCGAGACTGTATTTTTAGCCTTATCATAAATTAGTGGAGCTTCAGAATGAGTTTCCTAGATAAGGGGAAGCTGGAGCTGCATTTGTTTTGTGGGGCTAGAGAAGGCTCTAACTTAGCAATATACAGACAATGCCAAGCCAAGCTTTGACACTATACCTCATAACCAGTACATACTGCCTCTGCACAAAAATGTCACACCAGACTTTGTGTAAATAAAATCCTTTCCCCAAGGATACTGAGATGTGATATAGTAATATATGCTTACTGGATAGATGTGGGTCTTTCCATTAGGATAAACTACTTCTGCTGCTTCAACACTAAGAGAGACAGAAAAACAGAAGTAAAAATGTTTTTAAGACATGGTCCAAATATAATGTCTCTCTGACTGGAGATTTATACTCACCTGAATGGCTTCTCACAATATTCACTAAACATCGTGACTATAATATCAAGAACAATTTTTGCCTACAAAATAAAGATAATAATCACATTGAAATTTGTCATCTACTTGTGCTGAAGTAGACAAAATATCTTAACAAAAAGTGGGGAAAAAAAAAATCTTGTCTTACACTCTCTTCATTCTATTCTATTTAATAACAACCAAAATTCTAGCAGTCTAGAACACTAGATTGAAATTTGAAAAAAGTTTTTTTGCTGCTGTACAGACATTTATGCAAAAACTTGAAATCTTCAGTTTTCAAGGTTCGAAAGCATTTGTATATCTTTGCTAAACCATGTTCTGAAGATACACAGAGGCTTTATTACCAGTTGGAACTGGGTCTTCCCCACCTTCAGTCTAATTGTCATTTCACTGAAGTTCAAATGAGAATGTAGAGGCTGAAGGACTGTGCATTGTTTAGTAATACATTAAATAACTTCAGCTGCAAAATGTTTTGTTTTCCAGTCAATATTTTAAGAGATTAGTATAACAGAACATAATCATGAGATTCAGATCAACTTCTCAATGCACAAGGGTTTTTTTGATGCTTCACAGTACAATTACTTTCATGTAGACAGAACAGCACTATTTTTACTTTTACTATCAAGGCACAGAGTAGCAAGAAGCAGTTACTTTAATTAGTTTGCTTAGAAGCCACTCCCCAACATCCAAATTTATTTGTGTTGTTAACATATCATTCTGTAGTAGGGTAAGTTAAAAGCGGTTTTGCTCCTAAGCATCAAGATACACATTTTAGGGAAACTATCAATAAATGCACAACCTATATTCAAGAACAGGCAATTATAACTGCTAGGCTTTCATGCTTTGGCTTTGAGTTACAGAATTTGCATATGGAAACACTTCGATTTGACAATTACTTGCACAGCATCTCTGCTTGAAAAAGATAACGAAGAAGAAAAAGTGTTGTCTTCCTTCCCTCAGCCCAAATTTTAAGTAGGAGACAAAATGGTTTTTTACAAGGAATATTCTGGCAAAATAGGCAGTCTTAGTGAAATTGACTCTTTTCAAAGCTTTTCAGATTTAGAAAAAGAGCTCAACAACAAAAAAAGCCTCTAATTTACTTAAATTACTTTCTTGTACAAACTGAACACTTAGTGTCAACATAAAGGCACAGTAAAAAAAAAAAATCCAATGAAAATACATCACTGTCTACACAGCAAGCCCAAAACTGTGCTGAGGGAATTCCACATAGTCCTACAACTTATCCTGCCCTTTTGAAATGGGAGGTTGAGTCCATAAAGTAAATGCCTGGCTATTGTAGGTCTTTGTATTGGAGCCCTGTCGCCCAAAGGGAAAACAATGATATTACAGCATATCAAAAGCAGTAAAGATTAATTTACCTTCGTAATATCTGTGCCTGTACATTCAATAAACACGTTTCTGGTGTTTACGCTTATTTTTGTATGATCTCCTAAAAGATGTGAAGACAAAAACATGTTAAGAAATGTTATTACTTTTCTTGCAATTACACTGATACTGACTCCTTTGTGATTCAGAAAGATCACTGTCATCTTAAGCAGCTTAAAAAGCCACCGTCTACTGCACCAACATTCACAATTCTAACCAGAATAGCAGCTCTTTTTATTTTTAAATTTATGAATCAAAAAGAGGAAACAGACAGATCAGCCTCGCCAACCAGGTTATGCTTTCTATTGAAAGATGCACAAATCTACAGGTATCTTGGTATCCAGCTGAAGAAAATGAGCAGAATAGTGGCCCATCTGCTGGTTGCAAAGTGGTTCTGCACTTCCAGAGTACCTCATCTTTCCTGGTTTTAGTAACACACTGGCATTTGATGAGTGACGTGTGTAAGAAAGAAGCCTTGGACAGGACTGTATGGAACGTTTTTTTTAAAAGTGATTTAGATTGTTGAATAACCATAGCTGCTTCTGTGAATAACCAACATCTCTTGACACTGCCTGCTGATACACTATGCGTTTGTCTACATGAGCGATGCAGGTCCTAGTATAGGTTCCTTTTGGGCATGAATTTGGTTTGTGTCTGCACTGGCAGTCATGATGTGTGCATGGAAGCACATCACTGATGCACTCAAAACTGTTTCTCACCTGGAAGAAGCAAGGTAGAACATACACTTAGGGGCATCATCTAAAGTATCTCTCTTGCAAATTGGATGCAAAGCCCCCCAGTAGCTGGTTCCTTACAGGAGTGGGGTTCTGTTAGTAAGCCACAAGCAATCCAGAGCAGCTGTACAGAAATCTGCCTCACTTTTCCTGTTCGGTATAGATATGTAGTGCATACCTTGAACAAATTTCATTGCTGGTAACCATGCAGCACGGACATACACAGTCCCAGAACTGTACAGGATCATGCCAAATCCATGCTCTTTGTCCTTCTCGCCTTTCATTGCACCACTCACTAATGCAGATGCACCCCACAGGAGGCAAAGGGAAGCACACACTTAGACACACATGGGCATTCTTGCTTCCTTTGTTTGACCCTGAGCAAGTAATTCAGCTTCTGTGTTTTAGTTTCCTACCTGAGAAACTAGGTTACAGCTAGACTGAAAGTTAGGTGCACTGAAGATCTTACGACTGAGGGATCTGGTATTCCCTTCCCTTTGATGCTGTGCTGTACCTCCTTACAGACAGGATGTATTTGGCATTTCTGGACTCACTTCAAAGCAAATACAACCTTAAGTGCTTCTAGAGATAATCCAAAAAACCAATACAGATGTTTACATTTCATTATCTGTTTAAAAAAACCCTGGAAGCTTCTCTCAAGCACTGTTCCTTAAAATAGACGGGTATTAAATTTAGCTGAACCTTTTTAATTGATAAAATGTAAACAATATGCAATGCTTTTACATGGAACACTCCAAAGTTGGAAGGAACCTAACAAAGAAGGATCAGACACAGTGGGTGACATCACCTCCAATTCAGAACAGTTGTTCTTACCAGTCCCTGCCAGAGTCTGAGCTGCCTTTTAAGGAGATTTGGGTTAGCTGTTTAAGATATGGATAAGGTCAATCAGGACAAACGCATCCAAAGAGATTATCACTGCAGATTTTGTTGGTCAGTGTAGGGGAAGTTACTGATTCTTGACCTAAATATATACGTATACTGAAACATCTTTGTTAAAGGAGTAATTCTTGCTATGTCATCAACTGGCTTCAGTAAACATGGTTCTCAAAAATCACCCATAGTTTCTTTTGCATTCAGAGGAAACCCATGTTTAGAAACAACGCAAAAAAGCCTACATCAATTTAAAGCCACTACAGTCTTCCGGAATCACTTGTGTGATAGCAAAAGGCCCCACAAGAACTGGTTCATGCTGCTGATAAATACGCTTGGCTTCAGACCTAGGTGAAAAGTTTCCTACTGCTGTGACCACATAAAATGGAGTACAAAGCAGACTGTTACAGTTACAGGCTTACAAAATAATTTCACAGAATTACAGAACGTTAGGGGTTGGAAGGGAGCTTGAAAGATCATCTAGTCCAACCCTCTTGCTAAAGCTCTTACACACTTAGCTGAATGTCTGATGAACAATGTTTATGTATGCAAACAAAACACTTTCCTAACAAAGTTTTCTGTCACAAGGAACCTTTCTTGATTTCTACAAGGGTATAAGAAGCTAAATACAGAGGTTTGCAGTGGGACTTTTACATCCTCTTGATGAGGATGAGACGAGGAAGACTAGCAGCCTAGGGAGGGAGCATGTAAACTGAAAGAAGGAAAGAAGATTATATGAAGTTATAAGTGAAACAATTTTAAGAAAAAAGAATAATCCTTATTATACACCAATGTTTCTGTTAGACACTCTGACTAAACAGCACAAAACAGCAGTGACAGCATAAACTAGTCATAAGTAATCTTACCATTGATGACTGGTGGCATGGACAGAACAACCCCGTTGCTGTCATAAATGACAGGATAAAGTGGCTTGTTTTCAATTAGGTGTAAATAGTGCCGAAGGTGGCTGTCAGTCTGGAGAAACAAAGCACATAACCTAAATTTCACATTAGCTCACTTGCGAACTTCCATAGTGCCACAATCCTTTGCTGAGAGATTAACGGGGATTTTGAAAGAGGGAAGGATTTGGCTTAGAGCTAAGTACTTCACCAGCAAAAGCTGTTTGCTCTCAGAAGCAGGAAAACTTTGAAATGAGAGAAATGGATTTTTGGTTTTCTTCAGAAATGTTTAAAATTATTTCTTTAAGGATTCTCTCAAAGATGCATAGGCCATGCTGTCCAAATGATGCCCTTGTTCACCACAGCAGACCTTTCATTACCAAACCCATGGGCACACATCCTCAGTTCATGGGAGCTTTCCCTAGAAGCGATAAAAATTAGCACTACAATACTTTTAATTGTAAATTGCTGAATACTGACCCATTTATGCTTAAATTTACATCTGTTCCAATGATGTAGGTATAAGCTGTACCAAAACCATCATTTACTTTTAGTCTCTCTGATATCCCTCGTTTCCCAGCTCTCTTACTCATCTTTAGTCACAGATCTTTGAAAATTCATCTCCATAACCATCATGTGTGCTCCAGGACTGTATACTGCAATAATAGTATCATTTTCAAATGCTGACATTTAACGTGGCCCACATAAACACTGTAAAATTAGACCTGATGGAACCTTTTCCTAGCATTTACCTGGATTCATCAGGATGCTGGGCCAAGAGCAGTGCCACTCTTAACCTGAGCCTTTTACATAGTTACACTTGCCTAATATGTAGTTGGGGAACTAATTCAACATCTTTCCCAAGTAAATTGGCCAAACTAAAGTAACATTAAAAAAATCTGGTATTATTTACCCCAAGCTTTTCTCAGCTTTGTACACTGAGTACCTTACCAGCGTAGATAGATAAATATACCACCCTTTTACAGTATTACTAAGAGCATCATGAAAAGTAGTCTTCATGTTGATAAATCAGAGGGTTAATATCAAAGCCAGTATTCTAAGAGTTACATTTAGCCACAAAACACCATGATGTGCCTTTCATGGACAATAAAAATAAAGTACTACCATGCATTTCTCATCAATAAGCAAAACGTGGAATGTTCACTGTCTAGAAGCTACAGAAGATTACTCTGTTCTCTTTGTAAGAACAACTCTTAATAACAAGGATATGAGAGACGTTAAGCCTTGGAAACCTATCTTCCTGCATTTAGTGCAACAAGTCTGAAAAATCCCACCTACCCTATAGAGATCCATAATTTGTGAAGCTGTGTACTCCTGGGATTGATTCAAGGGCTTGAATTTAATTTCAGAAGGTGCTTTAGCTGTATAAGTAAATGGACCAGAGACGGTGTCCAAATCATGGGTACCTATGGCTACCAACGCTCTTCTCCTAGAAAGAAAGAAGGCAAAGAAACAATTTTACTAGTAATATTTGGAGTTCCTTTGAGATACTATCTCATGATGCTCTACACTCCTATGCATCCAGAGAACTTAATGAAAAAGTAAAATGGCAATTTCCACAAGCCTAGAAATTATTTTCATGAATAACATTTTAACAAATGTTAACAACACACCTAACAGTCAAAGGCAAATCCAATGGGACTGTTGCAAAACACTTTTCAACTGTTGTAGGAGCTGTAACAGCTATTTATGTTGAAAAATGTTGAGAGCAGGCAGAAACAGGCAAGGAAAGGAGAAAGACCAAGATAGCTGCTATAAAAGGTTTTCCTTAGCATAAATATAATGCCTCTCTGCAATAGGGATGTGTAGTCTTAACATGCGATAAAATCATGTAGATACTATACACTACTTTAAATTTAAGCACTAACCTGCAAATATTTTGGTGTAGTTTTTCTTGGAGGTCAATGAAACTATCATAACGTTCCTTGGTAAAAGTTATATTACGAAGGACTGCAGCTACAGCATGAGGGCGGACTTGGACAGTCTGCAATTTACAACAGCAAAACATTATAAATTTCAAGTACACAGAATATACAAAACTAAAACTGATTAAATGTACACTTTTCTTCATAAAATCCTCTTTTGTAAAGCAGTAATCAAAAGGAAAATTAATGGAAATACTTCAGAACCCCAAAAGGGAAAAAAACCCAAACACACACACTCCAGGTCTGGTAGAGACAAGGAGTTTCCAACTGTGTAATGGCCAGAAGGTCAGTGCAATGTAAGCATCTGAAACTTTGATTTCATCTGCTACTAGGTTCACCGAAATAATTTGCCTATTGTTCCTCCTCTTCCCTAAAAAAAACTATCACAAATTGGTACTGATAGGTATCTTGCTGGTTCAGAAAGTCTCAATAAATTTACAAAGGTGCAGTAAACACTTTTACCTCTTCCGTGATAATCAGCCTCTGACCTTCACCCTGAGCTGGTATTATCTTTTCGTACCTAGGGAGATTTATCCTAGAATAAAACCAGAAATAAGTGTGTAACGGAAAGAAAGTTAGTTCCCCAAATGCAGGAAACTTTAGAAATGTAGCAAATTATACATAGAAAACTTTCTCAATAACATTTCTTGGCACGTACATCAGCTAACTGTTTAAAACTCGTTTTCTATGGGATGGTAAAACAGATTACTGAACTAGAAAGGCAGGATTCAAAAAGATAAAGTCATAACAGAAAAGGGAAATAAATGACTGTTTTGGTACTTATGAAAGAGGATCACAAGGAAGTTCCTCTGCAGGAGTTCTTTACAGAGGGTAAGCCTCAAATGGAACAGCAGTTGAAAAATTTCTAGAACAGATCCAAAACTCCGTAACATTCTAGCCTAGTCTTTTAAAAATGTACAACAGATCATCTCCAGATGAACATCTGACAAGTCTGATCTACACATGAGATAGTACTCAAAATCCATGCAAGTGGAAAGTTTGTTTACCGACCAGAAATGGACTCGTATTTAAACAAATAAAAAACCACACAAAAATCTTCCAACTCTGCATTACCTTTCTTTAAAGACCTGCAGCCCTCGGACCAACCCTTCAAGGCAAAGAAGATCATAACGGTTGGCAGGAACGTCAATTTTATAGAGAATGGTATCAGATGCACCCTTTGCCTTTTCTTCACCTTTTTCTTTACTTATAATATCCTTCTCAGATGTCTGAAATTAAGCAAAAATGTGTTTTTAACCTGAAATATCTTAACATTGATAGGAGTATGATAGATAATACAATACAAAAAATTGTATTAATCAAAAGTTTAACAATGGATTATACAGCAAACGGACACAGCAAATACCAGAAATTATGTAAGAGCTAAATCTTATTCAGAGATTGTAATGCAGTATACCAAAATCAAATTCACTATTAGAATTTGAATTTTTTTAAAAAAAGAGATTATAGTAGCAAGAGTCTCCAGGCCAGCAGATCTCAGTAGAGAACTGAGACCTTATTTTTGGTAATAGATTGACAAATGACTTGTCATAGCAAGTCTATTCTGAACTAAAGCATAACATATGATGTTCAGACGTCTTTTGATAAACATCATTAAAAGACCAATGAATTCGAATTAAAAAGCAAAACCAAAACAGGTCTACTTGAACAAGATGTACATGGATACAGTTAACATGGCTAGCAAATTTTCACAAGTATAAAATCTAAATCAAAACTTTCAAGTCTTGCCCACACTGCTTCATGAGGATACCTGGGACATGGCATCCGCCAAACCTTGCCTGGACATTTTCTTGGTACATGCTAGCGGGTATTGGCCAACACTGTACCATGGAATATTCTGGAAATAATGTAGTTCAAGCTGTTAGCAAATAGTACACTACATCTACTGACAAAGTAACAGAACATTACTTACAATTTCATCAAGCTCCAAACCAAACTCAAAGCAAAGCTCATTAAATTCTTCATCAGCTGCGAAGAAAGAATGTGAAATTTGGTTAATAAGCAGACCTCAGACTTTTAATTTTGTTGTGTTTGTTTTGAATATTTTCAAACAAGATAACAGATGCTATTTTGAAAAAAAAAAGTTAAGAGTATTTAAAGAATTTTGCTTATACTTGCACCTGAGTAGCAGTTTCTTTAGTATATATTACGTTTATTACCACATTACAGTCACAGCAAAGGCTTGTGAGCCTTGGAGTCTAGCTTCACTACCAGCTCCTCATGCAAGTTCGTCAGTTAACTCTGGCCTAAACATAATGGAAACAGGAGGGAGTAACTGGACAGCTCCTGCCAACAGCTACTTTTTTTAATCTGTCAGCTTGTCATACAGAGGTTGCATCAACTGCGTTATGACGAGTAACACAACCTGATCTGAAAAGGAGATTTTCACCCATGTCTTAAGAGCCTACCAACTCCAGTGTGGGCTAGATAAACTGCTGCATGTCCCTAAACGCTCTTTCAGCCAAACAAACAGTTCTTAAGTCACAATTCTAAAAAGCTGGAGAAGGACTGAATGAAAACATTATATTAATTGTTTTCTTTGCCTGCTCTTACCCCTCCTTTTTGACTTAACCAGTTCCTAAAACAGACAGTGAAACTCCAACCAGAAACCACCATTTGGAAACGCATGGTTCTGATTTCCCCGAGCGCCCTAGACTCAAACAGCACGCATCTGGGCCAAAGGCTGAAGGGCCCAGGTAGAATACATGGCTTTCGTCTGGCGTGCCGTGGGCTTATGAAGAGCAGACGGCTCGGGAGAGCACCCCTGATACAGACACCACGGCTGGCCTGAAGCCTGGGCTTCCCCCGAGGGGTCGTTCGGCTCCGTGGACAGCGGATGAGCAACCAGTGGAGGGTGCTGCTGGTGGGCGGCTG